ATTTAAGAATTGCAATTACTTTGTTTAATCGATAAGTCACCAATAACATCGTATTTTTCGATAACTCAACCATTGAAATATAATATAATAACTTTCTATTAAAAGCTAAAACCTCATCTTTGCAAAATTTAATTATTTCTCGGACGATTTTCTCTGAAAACGTCCTGAAATCGAGAATCTGTAAATGCTATCAGGAAGAACTAATAAAAGTTATATCGTTATATATCTATAGACGACTCAATTGATTGCAACCAATTTCAACCTGAATAGAATGAAGGAAAAGGAGCTTAGCGACTTGGTTGGAATAGTGGGCAAACGCTAGGACGACACAAAAAATAACGAATTAGTTTTCCAATTAAATTAAGATATTTTCTGTTACAATTGTAAACATTAAGTGAATGTTAAATTCATTTGGTATTTATAAAGGGTATATTTTAAGTTGATATTTTTTAAAACTGTGTAAAAAGTCGTTAAAAATAACTTTTAAAAAAATAATTAAAAGTAAGAAACTTACAAAAATTGATTTTAAAATGTATCCAGTACAAACCAGTCTAACTTAAATAGTTTGTAAAGCTTTCAACGAAAAATGTTGACTACATGTATGCCGTATCATTCACAAAACCAACTGTGGGGGGGAAATATTTAAGTAGTGATGCTTCAACACGTAAAACGTCAAAGGGATTTATTATGCATTTTTGGTAAACCTTTATAGTAGACTCATATTGTTATTAAACCTTAACTGGTCCGGCGTTGTCAGACTACGCAATATAAACAGTTCTTTCTTATTGGTTATTGGGACCCCACACAGGAAGGTCCTTACATCTAATTCTTTTCCTATTGGCTGGCGTCAATTTCCTAAAAACTGTGACAGAAATAAGTTCGAGCGTAGTCTCTCAGATGACGCCGTATCGTTAGTACTATTTATTTGCCTGTCGCTGATTACAAGAAATATGGCCGTATCATCAACACGGGGGTTGAGATGATCGCTTATGTCCTAGTAAAAGGCGCAGAATGACCAAATACCTGTACCTGCGTTGCAAGATGCCCGTTTGTCTACAGTATATAAAACCATTATGTAAGAGTTGCATTTAAAATACTGAACTTTGGCTCATGCTGGAAATCAACTGTTTTTTTAGATTTGTATTTTATGTTTTTGTTTGTTTACCTAACACTTTGACAATTTAATATTGCAATATGAAAGAATTTTTCGTGATTTTTCTTGTATTTTTGCCATTCGTTTAAAAATATGTACTTTTTAAAATTTCTGTGCAGGTTTTAGTTTTGGGTTTAGTTTTTGTTTTATTATTTAGTTATAAATATGTTTTTTTTTTACATATTATTATTATTATTATTATTATTATTATTAGGTAATGTTTTTAACATTTATGTTAAATAAAACACTTTATTTTGTCTATTTTATTTTATTTTTGGCCTTCGCAAAAAGTAGTCTCACAGACTACGTCGGACGAGTTACGTTACTGGCAGAATGCCGGACCAGGAGGGTTAACTATCGTATTTGCCTATCCTATAAGTATATGCCCTGAAAAAAAAGTGTACACTGAGAAACTGTGTGATGTAGAAAATTGTTCTATGATGGTTCCACGTGAGCGAGGTATTTAGAATCGGAATAAGTATTTTGGTCCATTGCGCAACTCGTACAGTATCGTTCCATAGTTTGTTTCATAACGCTACAGTCTGTTGCTTTTCTTTCCTCGTGATTATCTCGGTAATTTGTGTTCCCCCATTCGTTTCTTCGCTTGCAGTCTGACTCTTTCTCGTACCATCAGTCGGAACGGTGTTATCACAGATATCGCGTTTGCTGCATCACACGAAATCATGCGTTAAGCGCTAGCCACCTTCTAAGTTCTTGGAGCTTGTTTTTTTGTACAGCTTAACGTTTGTAAATTCTATGCCATACTGGAGCTCCGTAATGGAGGATCGAATATATCACGTGGCTTAGTAGCTGTCTCTTTGAATGTGTGGGTCCCCATATGTTTGACATCAGCAGCGCCAAGGCAGATTGTTTTTAATGTATGCTCATTCAAGATTCCTAGACATCTGGCGCTTTTCTTGGGTATTATCTCAGTATTTCTTGTATTGAAGCTAATTTCTCTTCTATCTCTTGATTTCTTGAATATAACTGCTTCGGTTTTCTGGTATGCTATTGATAGGAGTTTATGTCCATCCAGTCCAAAATCATATTAAAGGAGCTATTCGTCTTCTCGATGAGACCATATTTAAAACCTGCTCTTTCTAACAAAGTGAGATCGTCTGCGTATGCGATAGTTTTACATTCTGGGGGAGTTTCATAACATTACCTTGCCGAAGAGGATGTTCCCAGGCTTGAGTCCAGTACAGATCCTTGTGGAATGCCCTGATACATTTTTTGCTGTATTTTGCTTTGGAGATGTGTCTGTCCTCGAAGTAGCTCCTCACTATGTTCACCAACCATTCTGGAGTTTCTTTTTTATTTAGTCTTTCAAGAATCACATAGCATTTCACCGTGTTAAACGCATTTTTTACGTCGATATAGATCATCGCCTGCCAGAGATACTTGAAGTCCCCGATTATGTGTTTCACCGCTTATAGCGTTCATTTCACTTTACGGATTCCGTATTGGGATTTGGAAAGTTTCAGAAAATCATCGAGTTTTATGTTGACCAAGTATCTCAAGAGTTTACTTAATACATCCAAGATGTAAATCAGTCGGTACCTAAGGTCCTCCACCGTTCCTTTATGGTTAAGGGCCACCCTTGCTTTTTTCTGGTTTCATGATACTAATAGGAAACAAAGGAGAGAATAATACAAAAAAAAGGTAAACAACTATTATTAAAAAACAGGTAACAGTAGATCCAAATAGAAAATTTATTGTTTACTCACGGCTAAAGAAGGCAAGAGCAAGGAGAGCAAAAGCGTACCAGCAAGCGGAATGGGGACGAGAAGAAAAAACAGTTTAATGTTTTTTGTATATTAAACTATGTTATATTGTAGAAAATTGAATTTTCAAATTTGTAACCGCCTCGGATTGAGACTGGTTTAATTAGATTTTGTTATACGGGGTCATTCTATATGGGCGGAACACTTGATTTATGGCTTAACTATGACTACGGATCACCCTGTATTTATATTTTTTTCGAGATTTCATCAATGGTATATTAAGTGGGTCCCAGACTTATTTAAAATATTGCCCGATGACGTCATATCTTGAAAACCATTACGTATGCGGGAAATCTGTAAACGTCAATAAATAGTACATAAAATGTACAAAAACTTTTATCCAAGTCAAATTATCGTACAAGTCATATTTAAGCCATAAATCAAGTGTTCCGCCCATATAGAATGACCCGTTCCGTCCATATAGAATGACCCTGTATAGGAAATTCCATGTCAAGTGTCTCCCAACGATTTTTATTTTGCCCTGTCTATCTTTCAATATTTTCAATAAAAATCTTTTATATTATTTGTTTATATTTTTCTTTTTTACTTTAATCAAATTTCAAACTACAATAAACTTCTAACAAATTCCAAACTATAATAAACTTCTAACAAATTTCAATGACTATTATATTCAAAGCACTTCTAATATTTCTTTAAATTACTTCTGACATTCCCAATTTATACTTGACAATTCTCTAAAAATCAACAACCCAACAAAAACCACGAAATCCTCACTTTTCATTTAAAATATTGATTTTTAAAAATTCACCAACCTATATTCGTTCAACTTTGACAAATTTAGATAAGTTTTTTATGACGTCAAACTTTCCATACCGATACATTTTATGGAAAATTGTAAAAAAACTAAATAAATAACTGTATTTACAAGAAATTAAATCCGTGCATGGATTTAGCTGTTTGTATACAAAGAAAATGACAAAAAAACTAATAAATATAATATCAATGTAACAAGAAAGTAAGTACATTCTAAAACTAAAATAATAAAATATTAAAATATCATTAATTTAATGTTCTTTTTTATTTTTATTGTAGTTTAATTTACTAATCTACCTAACTTAGGCGTTACTTGCAATGACTAAAAAAAAAGAGTTACATCAATTTACTGATGATACGAATAATATGGAATTATCTAAATACAATTATTCTATTTTAAATAGAAGTTAAGATTTCATTCAAAGGCGTGTTATCTCTTTATTTGTCGGTATTCGAAATATTTTCAGATCTCCGTCTTTTTTCAATTGGATTAAAATTTTCTTTATCTTATAACTCGCTAACCTTCTGTTCCTTCTAATTGTTTTAATTGACTAAACAATCTCATTATACTAATCTAGTTTAAGAAAAATTATTTCTACTGTTAAAATTCCCAAGTGACTTCGATCTCATATTTGATTATACAATTATGAATTTTTGTTTAATTTTCTTCTTACACGAAAACGACATTTATAATTTTATTGTTTGTTTTTATTATTGGATTTTACACAGTATAAAAAATTTTATAAGTGGAGGCAAATTAAATTTTTTCTCTTTTTAATATCATGATGTTATTAAAAATTGTTCCAAGTCTGAGTTAATTTAAATAAAAAAAGTGATTTTCCAGATTTTAATGTACCAATATCCCTTATAATTAGCTTGAGCCTGGTTAAATGACAAAGAAAGGTCGACACAACCTAATCGTAATAGGGATTAGTGTCCTGGAATTGGGGTACAATAATGGCTTTCCTTAGTAATCTCTGGAAGCCTCAAAACTTGTCATTCTCTTTATATTGTTCTCTCGATAATTGATCCTAATTAGACAAATATAATTCCAACTGGAAATTTATTCGCTCACTAAACTTTGTAAAAAGTGGGTGAGCATATGCTTTACGTACTCATTGATTGACATTTTCTGATTCTATCGGAAAAGTTAGTCGGTTTCTGGACAAAGGGTCTTGAAGACTTATGTCCATCCATTTAAAAGTATACTTATTTAACGGGCTCATTTAAATTTAACCTGATATTTCACTAAAAATTGGTCGTCTGTATTAACTTAATGTTTATTTTATGTTTGAATAATAATTAAATTAGTGAACTTTATGAAAATAAAATTTTCAATTTTAAAAACAAGTTAATTTTTGTGGAATCTTATTTTCGAACAACATTCAAAATTTGATGAATATTATTATTGGTAATATCATAATGTTTCGCCGATAATTCTTTAAGTATAAGATATTTCTCTTTATTAGTGTTGGTGAGTCTCTTTGAAGTCAGAAGTTATTTCTGGATTATCCCAAGATTGTAGTTTTGCTGAACCAAAGCAGGCATAGTATATGGATCCAAATAAATATAAACCCGCTGTTATATAAAAAACGATTCTCCATTCTTCAACACTGGACTAAAAATAATACAAAATTAAAATAAATTATAAATAATTTTATATTATGCAAATGTACATTTGCAAAATAATCAATAAAATGCGTTTTCATTTATTATCAACATGATTGCTATTGGCATAATACACGTAAAATTAAAAAAAATAAAACTTATAATTTTTATTTATTTAAATTTATAGACAAAAATAAGTGAAAAAGGAAAAAGATACACTTTCGCACTGCCATTTTTTTATTGGAAAGGCAATCTGCATTTCTCTTATCTTAATCATCTGTATTTAGCGTAAATGGGTAGCAGGACATTAAAGTCCTCAGGACCAAGATTATTTTATTTTTTACTCTGATATAGTAAAGATGTATTAAATAAATGGAAAATGGGGGTATACTTAATCTATAACCTAGAGGAGAATAAGTTTTCTCACAGAACTTCTCGCTGTATGTGTAACGTGTGGAGGGTGGGTTAACCCATGACACTTAATCCTCACAAGGCCTATAATGTATCGATGGGCTCTTACTAACTTGTGAAGTAGACTACATATTTAATGTAGTTGGCAACGTAGCCAAGACGTACTTTTCTTATATCGGACGGTGTTAGCCGGTTCTCGCCGAGCAAAATTCTTCTAATAAATGAGAGCATTAGGCAATCGTAATCCTAGAGGTTACACTCGATGGTCTTATCTTCTTGTTCGCATCACCTGCAGAGAGCGGATTCTAATAGCCTTATAATATGGAGATGATTTCGTACTTGACAATGACTAGTTAAAATGCCTGTCATCTGGCGCAAATTCTGTCTAGTCATAATTAAGTATTTCTTTGCTATTGTATTGCCAGGATAACTCAAGAGTTCCCTGGCAAGTTTGCAGCTTTTTGTTTTATACCATCTTTCATTGAATTTCATGAGGAAATGTTTTTTAATGAGTTTTGTCACTACCGATGTTGTAAGTCCCACAGAAGGGACATATCTAAAAAGTAATTGGTAAGCTGCATTCTTGACTAGTGATTTAGCAAGATGGTTACCTTTTGATGAGGTGTGACCTTTGATTTATCTTATGTTGACCACATTGTTGATGGATACTTGAGCCAAAGCTCTGTGACATTCTATTATTAACGCTGAATAAATTCGTGATCTGTCCAGGGTGAGTTGTGTTTGTATGCTCTCTGTATAGATGAGCATGTTCCTACCAATGATATTATTTCTGATGATTTCTTTTGATGCTATGAGAATCTACGTGATATCGGTATAAACTACACTGTTACTATTGCTCACAGCGCATTTTGTGTTTAGGTTTAAAGATCTGGAGTATATTTCATATTCTGAGTCTTGTTTGCTTTTAAAACCGTCGGTGTAGATATGAATCGTACCTACCACTTCTGGCTCTTCTATTTATTCTAATATAACTTTAGGTCTTATGGAATATATATCTGCGATGGAGTCCAAGTTAGCCCAAAGCAGTGGGAGCATATCAAGCTCTGGTCGATCTGGTTTTCATGGTTCCTGTTATGTTGAAACATGCTCCTAATTTTTGTATTTTTGATACGCAGACAACTGCACCGTATGTTAGCATAGGTCTTATAATGACCACGTAAATTCATGCGACGACCCTGGGGAAGATAACTTAGGTGCGCCACACGGTTCGACGGCCTTGTTCATAAGAAATGATTGTTTTTTTTCTTTTCTAAGTGTGAGTTTTATGTTAACTTGATATCAAAGGTAATAGCATGTCGCTGTGAGGTATCTAGGAACATCTACTCATTCAGCTAGGCCTTTACCATCGTAAAGGTAAACGTTCGGGTGGATCTAGTCTGCCCGCCTGATCCACATAGCGACCCTCCAGAGGCATATAAAAGCTACTTCTGAGCTCGCCAAAAACCTGCTTGCTGTCGCCGAGATGTGTCTGGGAACAGCCATCCTCTTAGTGTTAATGCCCTGCAGAGGTTCTTTGAGATTACCTCTTTTTGTTTACGTTATCTGTGAGCTTCTTCTACGATAGTGATGGAGCTATTCTGTCCGATGGCTCTATAGATGATTATAAATTTTAAATTTTTTTATATTTGGCATTTTTTTAAATTATTGACTGGAAGAGAAATAAAATTGTGTAAATTGCTAATAAAAGAAGTTATCTCAAGTGTGTTTCCTTTTAAAGATTTGAAACTATTTAAAATATCATCATCACCAAAAGGTATCTGATATTCTTTTAAAAAAGTTACAAATAATTTGAAATCAACAAACATATTATCTGTGGCTCGATTTTGGGGCGAATTTTAGATAATACAAGGGGATATTATTAAACTTGTGTCCAGTCTCCTGCTGTTTTTTTGGGCACAACCAACAAGTACGTGTAAACGTTAACAAGGAAATATACAACGATTTTGTCTACATGATGGCAAGAGTTAACCAAATGCACTACAAAGAATAGATAGGTATTTTAAGTTTGGGCCTCACAACAGTCTGAAAAACAGCATAATGTTTTAGCAAAATTGTGATGTGGATAATTTGAATTTTTTTCATAGCAATCAATACATTCTTTTGTATTTTATAACAAGCTCTTCGCGTTTATTTTTAATTTGAACTTTCAGGAAAGTCTAGCATCAAGTGTCATACTCAGATAATTTGCTGTATTGGCAAAAGGGATCTGAGTGTCGTTTGTTCTAATACGAATATTTTTTTAATTTGTTTATTGCTGAAGTTGATATAACTAAAATTTGGATTGGTTAATTCTATTTTTTTTTCTTTTTAGTATTTGAAATAACAAAAATACAAGTTAACTTACTTCGTCTGTTACTAAATATCCTGTCAAAATGGGACTTATAATCCCAGGTATAGTCCCAAGAGTGTTAGATAGAGATACTGTTAAGGCTCCATAATTTGGTGCTAAATCCAAACTATTTACACTAAAAAGAAAACACAAAAAACAATGTAATAAAATTCCATGGAAGTCTTCTAAATATAAAAATTTCAACTTTAAGGCATGAAACACGGTTACTGGTATAGAAAAAAAAAATAATATTTTGAATATTAATTTGACCTCATTAGTAATGAATTTTGTATTTTAGGTTTCAAGAAAAATCAGTATGGATAAACAGTTACTTACAGCAATGAACTCTGTAAAATTCCTGTAAATGCGACTGCTCCTATTAGACAACAAACAGTTACAATGTGTGACAGCGTGTGTACGGATAGTATTAAAAATAAAGATGATACTAAGAAACCACCACTTGTAAATATTTTTCTAATTATTGTTATTGAGAAATAATTTTTCGATATTATATAATCGGTCAAATGACCAATACCCAGCAAGGACACAACTTCAGCTATATAAGGAAGAGCAGCTAACGCACCTGCTTTACTTAGGTCAAAATTCAGGCAATCTGTAAAACAGTACAATTAGAAAAATTTAAATGTAGGGCAAAATAAACATGATTAATAAACAAAATTATTTAAAGTGAATTTTAAACATTTTTTTTTACAACAGGTTGTTTTATTGGGAAATCCGCAAGTCAAGTAATAATGGTAGATACTAAGTGCTATTCCAGATGGAATTATTAGCCATAAATCATAATTAATTAAATCATAATTAATTAATTAATAGTTGAAAATTAATTATGCTTTACATCCTCCTTAGTGAAAATAAAGATAACCATGTAGTATACCTATGTTACGCCGCTGACCCATACGTTTAGATTTAAAATTTTACGTCACTCTCTATCCTGGCTCTCTACACTACTCATTACCAATTGTTGTGTCGCCTGATTCACATCGAAAAATCGACCACATTCCAACGATTATAAAAACATGGATAGAAACTATCGAAAATCGTATTAGAAATACGATAAATTGAAAAAGAAATGAATGAATTAAGAGCACAGGTAGAAGAATAATGTTTTTCTTTTTATTTAACTGATTTTTAGCTTGCAGAAGATACTATATGTGTAAATTTCTGCATTTAGACGACAAATAAATATACAGAAGATACTACTTTGTGTTAACGGTGCAGTCATTGATAAAATCCGTCTGCAAAACGAAAAATGCTACTTAATGTGCAAATTTCGCAAAACGTTGATGAGGGCAGATACTATTTTATGTGTAAATTCTGCATCATAGACAAAGACATGTACAGAGGAGGCTACTTTATGTGTTAACTCTGATCTTATACTAGTACAGGTTTGAGAATCGTTTTCTTCATAATTTAATTAATGTTTAGCTTGCAGAAGATACTGCTTTACTGTATATTTCCGAATTTAGACGACATATAAATATGCAGAAGATACATCATTCATATAAGCCGTATGCAGAGCGAAAAATGCGACTTTATGTGCAAATTTCGCAAAACTTATGTGGCGGAAGATACTACTTTATGTGTAAATTCTGCAAATAACAAATAACTATACAGAGGAGGCTACTTTATATATTAACTTTGATCTAATACTTACATGATGCAAGCCCAGCTAACTGCAACGCGAAAAATGCTATTAAATGTGTAAATTTTGTAAAGTTTTGGTCGATAAGATACTATTTTATGTGCAAATTATTAAAGCCAAATAAATGAACAGAGAAGACTACTTTATGTATTAACTCTGATCTTATACTTATAAACTGAAAACTCGGCTAACTGAAAGTGAAAAAATACTACTTAATGTGTAAATTTTGTAAAACTTTGATCGAGAAGATACCATTTTAAGTGTAAATTCTGCATTTAAACCAAATGAATGTACAGAGAAGGCTACTTTATGTGTTAACTCTGATCTTATACTAGTACAGGATTGAGAATGGTTTTCTTCATAATTTAATTGATTTTAAGCTTGCAGAAGATAATGCTTGACTGTAAATTTTCGAATTTAGAGGACATATAAATATGCAAAGGATACATCATTCATAATAAGCCGTATGCAAAGCGAAAAATCCGACTTTATGCTGAAATTTCGCAAAACTTTTTTGGCGGAGGATACTACTTTATGTGTAAATTCTGCAAATAACAAATAACTATACAGAGGAGGCTACTTTATGTATTAACTCTAATCTAATACTTACATTATGCAAGCCCAGCTAACTGCAACGCGAAAAATGCTATTAAATGTGTAAATTTTGTAAAATTTTGGTCGACAAAGTAAGTTTGCGGCAAAATCGTATTGAAACGTGGACCCAGGATACAATAAGGACATTCGCAGAGCCCCAGTCTCCAGTCTGCAATCAATTATAGAAAATCTGTATTGAAGATAGAACTGTGAGTACTAAAACATTTTAATAATTGTGTTAAAGAAACTGTAAAAAAGTGCAGGAAAAAGTAAAAAAATCACTTTGATATTGTAAATATTAGCATAGAGAGAGGTTTATTATTTAAATTTTTAAAATAAATACCAGCCATAATCATAAATATAAAAACATATTTGTCATTGGTGACAGTCGTCAAGCTAGGAAAGCTAGACCTCAATACTACACTTTTCAAGCATAGAAGAAAATGACGGCTGTATTTATTTTACTAAATTTATTTTACTAAATTAAACTAAATTAAACTAAATTAAACTAAATTAAACTAAATTAAACTAAATTAAACTAAATTAAACTAAATTAAACTAAATTAAACTAAATTAAACTAAATTAAACTAAATTAAACTAAATTAAACTAAATTAAACTAAATTAAACTAAATTAAACTAAATTAAACTAAATTAAACTAAATTAAACTAAATTAAACTAAATTAAACTAAATTAAACTAAATTAAACTAAATTAAACTAAATTAAACTAAATTAAACTAAATTAAACTAAATTAAACTAAATTAAACTAAATTAAACTAAATTAAACTAAATTAAACTAAATTAAACTAAATTAAACTAAATTAAACTAAATTAAACTAAATTAAACTAAATTAAACTAAATTAAACTAAATTAAACTAAATTAAACTAAATTAAACTAAATTAAACTAAATTAAACTAAATTAAACTAAATTAAACTAAATTAAACTAAATTAAACTAAATTAAACTAAATTAAACTAAATTAAACTAAATTAAACTAATTAAACTAAATTAAACTAAATTAAACTAAATTAAACTAAATTAAACTAAATTAAACTAAATTAAACTAAATTAAACTAAATTAAACTAAATTAAACTAAATTAAACTAAATTAAACTAAATTAAACTAAATTAAACTAAATTAAACTAAATTAAACTAAATTAAACTAAATTAAACTAAATTAAACTAAATTAAACTAAATTAAACTAAATTAAACTAAATTAAACTAAATTAAACTAAATTAAACTAAATTAAACTAAATTAAACTAAATTAAACTAAATTAAACTAAATTAAACTAAATTAAACTAAATTAAACTAAATTAAACTAAATTAAACTAAATTAAACTAAATTAAACTAAATTAAACTAAATTAAACTAAATTAAACTAAATTAAACTAAATTAAACTAAATTAAACTAAATTAAACTAAATTAAACTAAATTAAACTAAATTAAACTAAATTAAACTAAATTAAACTAAATTAAACTAAATTAAACTAAATTAAACTAAATTAAACTAAATTAAACTAAATTAAACTAAATTAAACTAAATTAAACTAAATTAAACTAAATTAAACTAAATTAAACTAAATTAAACTAAATTAAACTAAATTAAACTAAATTAAACTAAATTAAACTAAATTAAACTAAATTAAACTAAATTAAACTAAATTAAACTAAATTAAACTAAATTAAACTAAATTAAACTAAATTAAACTAAATTAAACTAAATTAAACTAAATTAAACTAAATTAAACTAAATTAAACTAAATTAAACTAAATTAAACTAAATTAAACTAAATTAAACTAAATTAAACTAAATTAAACTAAATTAAACTAAATTAAACTAAATTAAACTAAATTAAACTAAATTAAACTAAATTAAACTAAATTAAACTAAATTAAACTAAATTAAACTAAATTAAACTAAATTAAACTAAATTAAACTAAATTAAACTAAATTAAACTAAATTAAACTAAATTAAACTAAATTAAACTAAATTAAACTAAATTAAACTAAATTAAACTAAATTAAACTAAATTAAACTAAATTAAACTAAATTAAACTAAATTAAACTAAATTAAACTAAATTAAACTAAATTAAACTAAATTAAACTAAATTAAACTAAATTAAACTAAATTAAACTAAATTAAACTAAATTAAACTAAATTAAACTAAATTAAACTAAATTAAACTAAATTAAACTAAATTAAACTAAATTAAACTAAATTAAACTAAATTAAACTAAATTAAACTAAATTAAACTAAATTAAACTAAATTAAACTAAATTAAACTAAATTAAACTAAATTAAACTAAATTAAACTAAATTAAACTAAATTAAACTAAATTAAACTAAATTAAACTAAATTAAACTAAATTAAACTAAATTAAACTAAATTAAACTAAATTAAACTAAATTAAACTAAATTAAACTAAATTAAACTAAATCTAAATTAAACTAAATTAAACTAAAAAAAATTTAAATAAATTTAAATTAAAAGTTGATAAAACTAAATAATTATCTCTATGCTCTCTCTCTATCTCTCTCTATATATGCTCTATTGACATACGACTTTTAGAAGGACAATAAGGGCTAGTCGAGGTAAGTTTTAATAAAGTGAGTTTGGTAAATTGTAATGTAATGAACGACAAATTAGAATCATTGCAATACATTAAACTCGTCATCTTCACCAGAACAGACGTTCGAATAGTAAGGATCAAATTCAATATCAGGATATTCTGGGAGCGGATCCTAATAGCAACATCTCTCTCGGAAAACCAATCAACGAAGAAATGGTAAAAAGTTCGGAAAATATTTGCAAGACGGTGTGGAGAATGGCAAAATATCAAAGTTTCTTTGTGAAATCAAAATCTGGAATACTTTCACTTGGGTTCCCCACCTTAAACTCCAAACCAAAAAGTTTAGTGACTAGTCACGTCATCAAATAAAACCGACAGCTATTTATATATGCTGCAAAACCAACTTGAAAGGTGATGGGAAGTTTAGCTGAACCTCTGCAAGCTAGGCTTGGAGGGAATAGAAATAGACGCATCAAAACAAATGCAAATGTAACAAAAGTATTACCAAACATCTACCATAGAATATATACATCGTAGGCACCTTATATATCCGTATTTAAACACAAATGTGAAAATATGATAGAAAAATCAGATATCGATGGTTTTTCATTTTGGAAAGAAATTTGTAGAGATATGGAAGTCAGACAAAGCATTTGAAAAAACTAGCATACATTTAATTTAAAGGCACTAACTAAAGGCAAACAATAATTTCAATTTTAAACTTCAGGCGCCTACTTTTAAATAGCGACTGAAGAAAATCAGGCCAGAGAAAGAGCAAGAGAAATAAAATTAAAAAAAAACCCAAATGACGAAAAGTATTTAGAAAAACAGAGAGGGGAGAAGGAGTTATTAGAAAAGAAAATAAAGGTAAGAGAGATTTTTGGTAGACTGAATAAATTTGTAAAATATGTGGGCTAACTTAACTAATGATAAGAAGGTATTAAGATATGTTAAAGGTTTTAAATTAATTTTTAAAACACAAAAGAGCTTTCACCAAAGGATGTTTCCTCTTAGAGAAAAAACTAAAGAATGCAACAGGTGTTTGCTTGCTAAAGAAAATTAGTTTGGTTCTCATATTGTTTAAGACCCAAATGAAATGATTCATCTAGATTCATCTTTAACAAATATATAGATTCTCGCATTTCAAACTGGAAGATCACAGGTCTGCCGAGAATATTTTGTTACAGGACAATTTTATCAAAAATTAAATTAAACTACATGGTTATCTTTATTTCCACTAACAAGGATGCTCGCATAATTAGGATCGAACTTCCTTCAGGTAAGTCGTTTGATCCATTAATTTTTTAATAATATCTATTGAAGTTAAATAGTAAGATTTATGAATGTATTCATTATTAAAAAAACTTATTAACATTTAAATTCTTGCATGATGGCTAATAATTTATTTAGTTTTATTAAGTGAGATATTAATTTTATATTATAACGATACTGTGATAACAAATCTCGTTAATATAAAGAATATCGCTTTAAAATAAATCAGTTTGTTAACTAAAAACATTTTTTTCAAGTGTACGAGCTACATTTCCTTAAAAGAGGTAAACTTTTAGGTAGGGATGTGCACGAGCTTGATCGAGCAGGCTCGGTTCTTGCTTGTATTGCTTGAGCACGCTCGAGCGGAGCTCCGAACAGTACGACCAGTCCGATGCCCAACGGCTCCTGTATAATATTCGGCTCGAGCGCCTCGCGTATCGGCTCGGCTCGAGCCTCGAACGATCCGAGTGTTCCGTACTACGAATCATTCGAACTCTCGGTAATGAACTTATCATCGAGTAATTTCTCCATACCTAGTTGCATATTGTTTAATAAAATTAATAAAACCTCGGTCGTCCCTTAGTGTGATTCTGTAAAAGCAGCCTCGTCAGAGGGATCACGTGTACAAGGCGTGATAATGTTTTCGAGCACTTCATTGCTTAGATGGACCGAGTTTATGACTGGTTACTTATTCGAAATATCAAATAATTTTTATTTATTCGAATTAAGAAAATCCTATATACTTACTGTAAACGTAAATGAAGCTAAAAACTTCTTTCTTATCACACTTATTTTACGGGGACCGAAACACATTAATCACTTTTCACCACTAAATTTAATGTTGAATGATTCATTCAGAGTACGGAATGCTCGGATCATAAAAGACTCGAGCTAAAGCCGCTCGAGCTGTATCGGTACGCGATGCGCTCGTATTGTTCAGAGCTGCATTGTAGCGTGCTCGAGCTGCAATTTTTCGAGCTTGATCGCGAGCGCTCGAACTTTACAAGCTCGTGCACATCCCTACTTTTAGGTTTAGTACAATTTATATTTGCACATTATTATTTGTAAAATAAGTGCAAAACATTTATTGTTTTAAATAATAAAAATAAAAATGAGTTTTAGGTAGTTTACCGAATACTTTACGAATAAGAACATGTTAATTAATCAACCATACATCTTATGGTAAAATTGTTTTTGATAATTTTATTATTATCATTACATATTAGTGTTACTTACACTTCATAAATTTTGGTAGTTCTGTTAACAAAGTATAATTAGCCCAACCTTCACAAAATGTTGCAATTGCTTTTGCCCATACAGGTTTGGAAGTTAAAATGGATATCCATGGAACTTCTTGGTTAAATTTAGCTTGTTTTGTATTCTTCAGTGATTCAGTTAAATAAATTAATTCATGTACATTAATTCTCGGATCTTCTGAGGGAGAGTCACTTATAAAAATTAACCATAATATAGTCCAGATACATCCACCTGCACCTAAAGGAAGATTGTATTTTAACATACCCAATAATTACGCTTAAACCTAAAGCATTCGTTTTTAGGATTTTGGTAATATGTCGGTAAATATATAGCAAATGGTTTACTATTATCCGTACGAATGGTATATAAACGGTACAGGTCCGCGTTAACTCAATAAAGTTATTAGTGAGAAATATGAATTTAATTAATAATTTTGTTTCGAATGAAATTACTTATGCAGTTAAATATTTTTAAACCTATTAATGAAAATCTATAGTTCGGGACACAATGAGAATACATTTTAGCAAGGCATAGGCAATATATTTTTAATAGGAGACCGGCAAATTCTTGATTGCATACAAGGACCATTTTTCCTGTTTCATGTCTAGTTGGAGGACTTTCTGCAGAAAGGAAGTGACCAACAAAATTGTGATTTTTAGACTCTAGCATAATATTCTAATTAAAACGGTAACCTTCACTGCAAAAAAATCCGGGCTACATTCTGGTACCTAGCGTTATTTGTTAGCCAATGAACCAACCGACCAAATTGGTTAAGCAAGTAACCTGCTTGCAGAAGCAATCCAAGAGCCTTGGATGCCTTCTGCATAATAGAGAAGAGAGTTGGTGACAGTTCGTTATTTGATTCTCTATGAAAGTGAGTGTGAAGTATTACAAATAGAAAAACAAATATTTTTGTGATACAATATGAATAATATCAGCATACCTCAAAGAATTCGGCTGATGACACAAATAATGTAAATTAAATCAGCACAAATCCATAAGCAATGTTGTCTCTGTACTGATGCGTAGACATTTATAAAATGGGCTTAAAAAGTTTCCAAATTTTTAATTCCAAATCATAAAATACATTAATTAATTATTATAATAATATACTGTTACGCAGGTTTTTGGTATCAACTTTTACAACAACTATACAACTGATAACATTAACATGTAACGTGTATCATTAAATTCCAAACTGACGTCAGGATCATCCTTATATATCTTGATTGACCCTTCTCGAACCTTCTCGAATTGTCGTCTAGAATATTCTTGACGAGTAACATTCCACTTTTTTTTCTATGTGTACGTTTCCTATAATAGCCGCAGGCTATGCAGGGTACTGCGTAACAATACGAACAAGGCAGCAACACCGTTCAAAAAGGTAACAGAAATGTGCGATAGAAGAGAAGAATCGCAACAAGCGCCAGTTTACAGCCTAACAGACGAGGAAACTAGTTTTAATATAAATAGTTTTCTATACGATACACTTACGATCAAAAGAATTAAACGTTCATTTTAAGGATAGAATTCCGTACCTGCAAGACAGATGGTGTTTATGCCAAATTAAATCGCTTTAATTAATTAAATATAAATATTGGAACCAAAATAACGAAACACTATTTGATTAAGTATTATTGGTAATTAATTAAATTTGAATTATTTGTAAATTTGATGCAAGAGATCAAGAACCATTGTCACACAGCTGCACCAACTAAAGTTTTAATACATTTTAAAAAAGCAGTGATGAACGCATTGTGCATAACCTTTCCAGAAGCCACAATAAGAGGATGTTTCTTTCATTTTTGCCAGTGTCTGTATAGAAAAATCCAAACGCAGAATTTGCTCTGCATATAAGGATGTTAAATGCCATAGCATTTGTTACAGTTGAATTTGTTGAATATGCATTTAACACGTTACAGGACACAGGTCTACTTCCAGATGAAGCTTTACTGGTTATAGATTATTTTGGAGACACATGGATAGGTCGTTCAGACAGAACCCCTAAATTTTCTCATATTATGTGGAACTGTTTCGATGCTGCTATCACAGAGTTAGCTAAAACTAATAATGCCGTAGAGGATTGCCACAGAGGCTTCGAAAGCCAGATATTAACTAGCCATCCTAGTATCTGGAAATTTATTGACGCCGTAAAAAGAGAACACTCATTAAATCATTTAGGAATGGAGCAGCACGTAGCAGAAGCACCTGCATCAACTTCAAAAAAAATATATGCACAAAGAATACTAGGTATTGTAGAAACTTTTGACAAAACCACAATTATATAATACGTTAGAGGGATAGCGCATAATTTAAGTTATTAGTTTTATATTTTGTATTTATATCTACCTACTTAAAATTAAACTCTTAAAACCTGTATTATTGTTTTATTTTTTAACAAAGATTTATTATTAAAATAACCAAAAAAGGTTTTCAGCTGTGTGCACGTAGTTTAGATTCAAAAGGAATGACTTGTATTTCTTGCAAAATGTTTTAATTAATAAATGCAAAGCGCTTTCGGCTTTCGCGATCATCAGTGCTTATCCACAAAAATTTTGGATGTAAACTTACAATTTGTAAATATGTGTAAAAATAAAATCTGAGTAAGACTTTTAAGTAAAAAGTTAAATATATATATATTGAACAAATTAACAATTAAAAGATAACAGACAGAGTGACATTACCCAGTGGAGTCCCTAAAAAAATCATATCTCATCTCCAGAAGCAAGTTAGCTTGTGTGTAACTAAGGAATTATACCACTATTCGTATTAAGTACAGTTGAAAACAAGTTGACAAATTAGTTAAAAATCAAATAGGGATTTTTTTTTTTCGAAAGTACCCATCCGTCAAATTTTTTATGGACGAATTACTGCCAATTTTTTCAAAAAAGTTCGACTGTGGAAAATATATTGAAATTTAAATTTAGAATACAATAGTTAATATCAAAAAGGTTAAAGACAAAAGGCTAAAAGAAAAAAACTGAAGGTTTTTTGTTTTCTTTTACATTATAATTGTAAAAAAGTCTACCTACTGTCCACAAACAAGCATATCCACCAAGTTCTTAGTGATCCTCGCTCCAAAATTAAATACCTATTTCTGCAGATTCACAACTTGCTAAATCATAATTATTACTATTAGCAATATTTTAAATTTAAATTGATTTATACATTAATTTTTATTAATTTTTTTTAACCGACTGTTTCCATGTGACAGTGGTGACAAGCGACAATTAAAGACGTTGACCGGTCAAATGTCAAGAGAGGAGATGCGTTCACCTCAGTATGGAACAAGTTTTTCCAAGTGTGATTCGAGTGATTGGAGGTGGTTAAAGGAAATCAAAATTTGTTAGTATTGAATTTAAACTGATTTTTTCTGAAATTTGATTTATTTGTTAGTTAAATTTTAGTTTAAATAAATGTTTAATATGAATTGATCTTTTTAGTGATCCTTTTAATGTCAAGACAAAACAAAAATATATGTTTAACTTTTGACTTAAAAGTCTTATTCAGATTTTATTTTTACACATATTTACAAATTGTAAGTTTACATCCACAATTTTTGTAGATAAGCACTGATGATGATACCATGCTGAAAGCGCTTTGCATTTATTAATTAAAACATTTTGCATAAAATACAAGTCTTTCCTTTTGAATGATTTATTAGTTTAAGAAAATTTGGTAATTTTAAAAATTTCAATTTGAATAACAGATTTCAAACAATTGACTTTCGAATAACTGCTTTTCGAATAAATGTTCTTCCTAATAATTTACTTTCGAATAATTGGTCTTTCGAATAATTGACTTACGAATAACTGGTTTCGAATAATTGATTTCGAACAATTGTTTTCGAACAATTTACCTGCTACCGTATTTTTTACCTACTTCCTTTGACAATAGAGTATATTTAGCCAAACAGTGCTGATATTTATTTTACAGATAAGGGCCGACCCGCAAAAAACAAAAAATCCAAGTGAAATCCCTTTTTTTTTAAATTTGTAAGACTAGTGCCACATTAGGTAGATGCTCAGTTGTCAATCTTCAGCAGCAGAAAGTGTGCTACAGACAAATTCTATAATCTCGGTACTTTGAGTTAAAGATCGGTTGAAACGCCTAGAATTTGAATTTACTGCGCAATATATTTAATCTTCTTCCATGGCTAGCAAAAATTCCTGACTTAAACCTTAATAAACATATATTAGGCTTTATAATTAAGAAGATATATCAAAGAGACTATAAGCCAGAAAGCCGCGATAAACTATTGTTGGTTTTGAAAATGCTCGGAAAGAGCTCGTAGATTCCTACGATTTGCACCAATTTATTTTGTCTATGCCAAGAAAATGGGAAAGTTTTGCGGCAGCCAATGGCTTTGCAATAAAATATTAATAACACTATTCTTGCTATATCTGTTAAATTTCGAGGAGAGCATTGTCTTTATTTTTATTAGATACTTTGTCTGAAAGGTCTTTGCGATCAATGTTGATCTTGCCATAAATATGTAATTTTTACTAGCATTTTATTTAGCGCCCACTTTACTCAACGTTTGTCAAATTTTGCTGTAACCTTTAATTTTCTCTTATTTTAAATAGTATTTCTAGTTTTATATGTTCAATTGGTAATTTAATTTAATTTTGCTATTTTTATTGAACATTTAATGCAGGTAAAACCAATTCGACAAAACGGCAGTGATAAAAATAATGTATTTTTAATTTCCGCTTTTCCCTTCCTCTTTGTAACACTTCTGACGAATTCCAGATTTACAAGAATTAATTTCAGTCAAAAACTCCGATGACAACCAAATAACGTTAACATTTTGATTGCGCCGACTTACGTTCAAAATATTGTATTCTGTATCTTCTAAATCATATATTTAGGTACAATTAACCCTAGAGCGAGCGCGTTGGTGTAATTTTGCTACCAATGTCAAATTGAGTGGGGGTGTAGTAAGATTTCGTTACCTATTTACGCCGTACGTCTCAATATCTTCATAGCAGTTGCTTAGTAAGTGTTAGCTGTGTCTCTTTGATAATAATTCACAAATCCGTTCAACTTGTCGCAGCCTAATTATTTGAGTATCACATTTGCTACCACGCACCTGGTCATGTAAGTAGAATTTTTAATGACATAATAAAAGTAATAGTTTTTGTTTTGTTTTTGGAAGCTCAAAGGTTTTAAAATATTACTGTACATCTTTCAATAATATTTTTGAAATTACTTTTTTAAATAATAACTAATTCATTGTAGGTCCAAAGCGCTTTCTGATGAAGAGCTTCGGCTTATTTTAGAAGAAACAACAAGCATAGAGGATGGAGATGATGTCAATGACAAATGAGTGACGAAGAAATAATTACTAAAGATGACCCAGAATCAAATTCCGAGTTGGACTATGATGATAACGAAGAAACTAGGGATGAGTCAGTTTCTAATATAGAGTTGGAGCAAGAAGATGAAACTGCCGAGCAATACTATATCGGTAAAGACAAAAAAACAAAATGCGGAAAAAGCATTACCATCTCAAAACTTCAAAGAATAAATCAAAAAATATCGTTAAAACATTTCCCGGTCCTAAAAGTTCGGCCAAAAATATAGAACCAGAATCTGAAGCTTTTTCAAAAATAATAGATGATAACATTATAAGTGAAATTTTATATTACACAAATTTGTATATAACACGAAAACGAGGAGAAGTAAATTATAGTAGAGATAGAGACGGTAAAGTAACAACTAAATCAGAAATAATGGCTTTGTTGGGTATGCTATTTTTGATCGGAACGAAAAAAGGAAGTCGTACTAACGTGAAAGAATTGTGGGCAAATGATGGAACAGGTCTGCCCATTTTGAGAGCGTGTATGAGTTATAAGCGGTTTTTGTTGCTATTAAGATCCTTGAGGTTTGATGATAGAGAAACACGGAAACAGCGTAAAACAATTGATAAATTGGCAGCAATTCGAGGAATTTTGGACAAATTTGAAGATAATTTTAAGAAACACTACAGTCATAGCGAATGTATAACCATAGATAAAAAACTGGAATCTTTTAGAGGTAGGTGTAGTTTTATTCAGTATATTCCAAATAAGCCTGCAAAGTACGGAATAAAAATATTTGCACTTTGTGACGCAAAAACATATTATACAAGCGCAATTGAAGTTTATTGTGGCAAACAACCAGAAGGACAATATTGTTTATCCAACAGCCCGTATGATATAGTACATAGACTTACTAGACATATAAAAGGAACTAACTGCAACCTTACCACTGACAACTGGTATACTAGTTACCTTTTAGCATGTTCACTTTTGAAAGATAAAATAACGATGATTGGAACTATGCGAAAAAATAAGGCAGAAATACCTTCCGAATTTCTGCCACACAGGAATAGAGCTGTGGGGTCATCTTGTCACGGTTTTCAACAAGAAGTGACTATGGTATCATATGTTCCAAAAAAATCAAAAGCCGTAGTATTGCTTTCTACTATGCATGATGAAGGTACAATTCATGAGTCTGGAAAACCGCAAATAATACTTAATTATAATATGACTAAAGGTGGCGTAGATACAGTTGACCAATTATGTATCACGTACAACTAGGAGATGGCCGTTAGCATTATTTTATGCTTTACTAAATGTTGCAGGAATTAATGCACAAATTTTATTTGTAAGTAACCCAAAAAATGAGAAAGCCCAAAGGCGATTCTTTCTTAAAAATTTATCGTTTCAACTAATGAAGCCTCATCTAGAGGATAGATTGAAACTTTTAAATCTACCTTCAGATATTCAATTATTTCTGAAATCTTATAAGCATCCAGAAGTTGAACCCCAAAAAGATGAACCTAGAAAAAAGCGTGGACGTTGTACTATTTGCGGGAGACAAAAAAATAAATTTACATCGATGATGTGTGACAACTGTGACAATTTTGTATGCCAAGAACATAGTGAAACTAGAATTACTAAATGTGACCACTGCAAAAGCAACAATTTGGTACAAAGCGACGAAGAGGATTATAAATAATAGGTGTGTAAACTCTTTTTAATAAATAATGTATTTTATTTTCAATATTATATGTGAATAAAACAAGTTTGTTAAAAAAATATTGCTTTTTTTGTATGGTAGCATATTTGCACCACGCGCCCGCTCTTGCAAAATTAATATGCGCGCCTGCTCCAGGGTTAAAAAAATTTACTTATTTTGTTTTCATTAAAAACTAAATATTATATTACTGAGTACCCTCCCCTCCTACCTATGGGTTTTCAGTACTGCAGCCATGCTGAATAAAAACATTCTGATCTTACTTTTTAATACTTTTCGACGTGTCTCCGACTGCTCTTAGTCCATAAACACAAAACAAATATGGTCTAGTCGTCTATGCGTGCATATATAAGTAGGTACGTACTCACAATATGATAGCTATGGCAGGAAAGCTCCGATCGATTTGCGGTTTACACTTTAATTGATTTATTCCTTCGGTCGAGATCCCTATCTATTTTCAGAATTTTCAGTTTTACTTTAGTGCTTTGAAAACTATCAGTATTTTTAAAATTAATTGCATTTTAACAGAGCACTTTGGCACGAGTACTTGAAGCCATAAATATATTTTTAAGTTAATGTCATTCTTAAACGCCAAATAAATTATTTCAAGTTTTTAAATATTTTTATTTAAATTTATATTTATTGTAGGTAAGTGAAAATAATTATTGTTTTGAGTTGAAATAAATATAGGCGAAACATTTTTACATAAGCAGATGGCTCCTAAACCTTTTTACATGGACAGGCACAATAAGCAATAAATGGACCAAATATTTTAGTATAAGAGTAGCAAGCGTAGGAAGTGAAGTTATAAATTGACCAAATATTTTTAAATGAGCAGGCTTAAGGAGGTGACGATCCATATAATATTTTATGTGTATTCCAAAAAGGTAAAGAGGCCAAATATTTGTGAGAGGCAGGCGTAATGGGTAGAACAACTTATTATTTTTACATATCCAGGTTGAAGAATATAGAAATAAACGACTTAAATATTTTTTTACACAAGCATTGGTAGAAGGACCAAATATTTGTACATGGACAGGTTACAAAGGCAAAATATCTTACTATTTTTACAGAGGAAGACTTAAGGAGTATATGATTCAAATAGTCTTGGATAGTCCAGCTTAAAGGTTAAGGACCCAAATACGTTTTAATAAATTGTCTGATGTTCTAAAGGAGACAGGGCATGGTTCATACAAACGAGAGCCAGCAATATAAAAGACACCTACGTGGTTTTACCTAAGCAATGCCAATGCTTCACAAATTAAAAAATTCAACGTACATATACTTCTTATCGTTTTTCGATCTTTCGATAAAAACCAAACCGTTTCTGGTTTCATGTTTCATGATATGAGAACCACCAATAAGCATCCCTAGAATTTTTGTTATTTGCTTTGATAATACTAATAGTAACCAATGTTTTCGGTAAATCATTTTTCATTATAAAAAGTATTTTCCTAAAAAATGCGCATATTAAACAAAATATATTTTTGTTGTTTTCTGAAAATTAATTGAAATATTAAAAATCTAATTTGATAAAATGTTTATAACTATTATTTTTAATTAAATAATTTTAGTTAATTTTTAAATCGTTAAAATGTCTAATGTTATTTTATAGTAATAAACCATCAGACATTAAGCACAAAATAACACCCTCGATAATAGCATAAAAACTTTACTACCATTATTGCATTATTGCAAACTAAAATATGTATATTTTAAACCATCAGAATATGTAGAATGTTTACTTACCAAAGAAATAGAAAATACTTTGCCATCCCAGATAAAATATCAATTGTGATGATAAACACAAAGCAATAAGAGTTCCAACATGAAGTCCAGATATACCTATTGCTACTAACCTAGTTCTTTCAGCTGGCGGGTACCATTTTGAAACGAGAGTATGGTGACATGGCATAATTAAACCCTGTAATAACATACATTTTTTAGTTGAAGATTTATTTAATTTACTTTAAAAAAATAATAATTTTCGATGATTTTTTCAAAACTAAATAGTTTTAACAGTTGAAGATCACACGTCCTCTACTTAAACTTCTTATAGTATAAATTTAATCTAAAATTTACCAATCTAAATTTAGGGTATAGTGTTTATTGTTATGTTATTGTTTGAATAAAGATTCTTATGTACGATGATTTGACTTTAAACAAATTTAGAAAGATCTTTTAATATTCCAATGAATATTTTCTCTCCATTTTTTCAACTTGTAATTTTTAATACCTTTTAATTTTTACTTCACCTCCATACTTTTCTTTTCTTTTCGTCGATGTCAAGAAGATGTATTGCTATATATTGTAATCTCTTCTGTATCTGTGACGTGTGGAGGGTGGGTTACCCCACGGCACTTAGGCTTTACTAGGCCCATTGTGAATTCTCCTAAGATGATAGGCAGCTCCTAGCTCATGAGCTAGCATACAGATTTAATGTAGTTGACAACGTCGCCAAGAGCGTCGAGCAGTCGAAAAGGATATTATCAATTGTCTTATCTTCTTCGTACCCCCTGCTGACAAAGTATTCTGACATCGCCATGATATGGAGATGCTTCCGTACTTGGCAAGGACCAGTCAGAATTCTATCTAGTCATATTTAAGTATTTGTTTGCTGCTGTGTTGTCAGGATAACTTAAAAGCTCCCTGGTAACTCTGCAGGTTCTTGTTTTATCTTTTCTTAAATTTTACAAGGGAATGTTCTTTAATTAGGTCGCTACCGATTTTGTCAGGCCAATAGAAGGGCTAGGTCCAAAATGTATTCGGTTGGCTGCTTTATTGGCCAGTGGATCAGCAAGATGGTTACCTTTTAATGTGGCGTGACCTTTGATATATCTTAAGGTGACCTTACTGTAAATTGATACTTTGGTCAAAGCTATTCTAGTACTAACGCTGAGAAAATTCTTGGTCTGTTTAGGGTAAGTAGTGCTTGTCTGCTATCTGTATAGATGAGCATGTTCCTTTCAGTGATATTTATTTTGCTACTATGAGGATTCTTGTGAGCTCTATTTAAACCACATTGGCACTACTGCTCATAGCCCATTTTATGTTAAGGTTTAAGGATCTGGAGTATATTCCACATCCTGAGCCTTGTTTTGTTTTAGAACCGTCGGTGTAGATACGTATCGTACTTGTTAGTTCCGGCTCTTTTATTTATTCTTTTATAAACTGTATATGGCTTATGGAAGATATATATTGATATAGTTTGTATTGGTACTTAGATGTAATTATTTATTTTATTTGTTATTTTATTTATGTTGAGCGCCTACTAATACCAAACTTTATCTATTTTTTTTTATTAGACTAAATTGCAATTAGTTAAATGATCATGTTGAAACTTTACCAAGATTATACTCTTTAACTACTTACTTTTTTTTTAATTCAGACATGTACGAGCAAGAGACTTTCCTTCAGAGGTGTCGGTTCCACAATAATACTTATCAAATTTTGTATTTTATAGTTTTTTTTTAATTTAAATAAATAAATTTGTTTAAAAATTGAACATATGTCTTTATTCAAATAAAAATTTCAAAATTGTTAAACATTCCTTTTGAATAAGAATAAATCAAAAAATTTAAATGAGAATTATCCTATTATTATCAACAACTGACACGAACTTACTATTTCCACTTTTCTAATTGTTGAAATAGTAGTTTACGTCATATAGGAGATGTAGTTTGCGTATTGTTGGTTGTCTATTCAAAATACACTTTACCACAAAACACCGGTTATTTTAGACCTCAATAGCCACTCCCATTTAATTTTAAGTTCCAAAATGACACCACGATCAGACAACAGCAAACAATACGGCTCGACTACATTCAATGCTAATAAATAAATTAAACTATGTACACCTAAAACTACCTTATAACTAATTTAGCAAATGTGTTTTAAAAGTGTTCCTCAAATGCCTATTAAAATGAAAGTTTATAGTTTTGTTTGTGAACCAGTCCAGTTCAATGTTAGGTCCGTATTTCAAATAGTGACAAACTCGTGCAAGAATATGTTTAACTGTCTTTATCAATGTTATGCATATTATGACTCGGCGAGTCCAAAGGGTAAGTAACTTCAGCACTTAGTGTACACTTGTCAAATTATTATTTATGTCAATTACCTTGTAAAAATGGTAGCTAGAATACCTTTTATAGCTCAATATCTTAACTCAGGGCTCCTTTAATCCAGTTTCTTTGATCCAATTTAAATGTAATTTGCTTTTTACTTCTTTATCCAAAATTTTTTATGTCTGTCTCTCTTGTTGATTTATTATTTTTTTTTCTCTGGTAACAAATTGTCATTCATTAAGCTAATTTTTCATACTAAGTTATATTTTTCCTTGTAGATATCACTTTATTTTATTCACGGTTTGTTTTCTTTAACTAGTAACGTTTAAACTGTACCTTATAACTATTTTACAAATTTTCTCTTTTATTAATCACATCATTATTATTTTTTTGATTCATTCTATTTATTTCATTTCATACTTTTAAGTTTTAAATTTTAATTTTATTTTAGTTCCAAATACAATTTATAAATGATTGACTAGGTATCAATAATACTATACTGAGTGTTCCTTAAATTCAAGTCTCTACAACTTTCAATAAGTAAGTAAACCTTTTAATTCAAACAATATTTATGAGATAGAGTCTATGTTCGCTTGAAGCAGTGGAAGCATATCGAACACCTCCTGTCAAAAGCGACGTCTCGCCTGGGTATGAGTTTTATATGAGAATTCATACCTTCGTGTAAAAAGTTATTTCTCTTAAATTTACTTAAAATAAAAAATTATTTTAACTTGCTGTTTTCGAAATTGTATAAGATGAGTATAAATAAAAGTAATCTCCTTATTTTTTTAATAAACGTGTGCCCCACTCGACCATTCACTGTTAAATACTAATTAACAGTGCTGTTCCTGAGGGGGCACTGGGAAACAGTAACAAAGCCTACATAGAACACGAGGCTAATAACCGTAGCAGTTGATGTCAATGACACAAAAAAAAACCGTGTGTAATACGGAATTCCACATAGTTTATAGGCATGATTATGGCCCAATAACTGAAACCAATTGCCGTTTCCATTTTTTTTAAATATATGTGCTATATGATTTTTTGTTCTTTATTTTATTATTATTTGTTCAGTTGTTTAAACAGGGTGGTCTAACGAAAATTTATCAGAGCCATTATCAAGAATTGCTTCAGGATTTTGGAAAACGTTCGGATCCGTCAATTTTTAAATAAATGGGACATATTTCTATCATTTCCTCAACTATCATAGGCGAGTTCGGGCTGCCCACTCCAGAGTGGAGTGAAGTAAATAGGCGTAAACGGAGTGAGCATATGGTTTTACTCCTATTACTCTTAGAGTTTAATGTCAGTTGTCAATGTTCAATGTCAGTTGTCAATGTTCAATACTAATACTTAAAAACCTAATCGTACTTATCAGTAACAACCGTACAAGTTTCTTCCATATTAATGGTATGCACGGGAATCAAATAAAAAGCATTTTTACTTAAGAATTAGTCACAATTATCTTATTATCGATTTAAATCACCTTATGCGCATGCCCGATCCACACTCCACTCCACGATCTCCGAACGGTCAAAGAGGAACTTTTATTTTAACTCCTTCCGTACCCGAACGCCTTAGGTACTTTAGGAGTGAATATAGTGAAAAGAGTGCGTAGACCGAACTCACCTCATGTTATTCCTTTCCCCCTCCATCACTTTAACCAATAAAATTTAAATCTGGCTTCTAATTTTAGTACCTAGTGTTATGTATTGAAAACTGTGATACTTTATTTTAAATCTAATGTTCATAGTTATTTATTGCACAGGACAAATTTATTTGTTTGGTGGATTGCAGTTAGAAGTTGTATTTCTTGAGATATTTCAATTAAATAAGCTCATGTTCCATTTAATTATGTGTTATTATTTTGTAAATAAAATTAGCTTTCAAATGAAATGTCACAATTTACAATATGTATCAAATTATTTTTTCACTAGAGGGCGCAACAGTTAAAATATTTTATAAAAAATTACCTTTCTAATGAAATTTCCTATTTATATTGGTTAGAGTGGAAATGACGTATGATACTTGAAAATATAAGAGAAAGATTCCCCCTTTTATAAAAAAATTGAAAGGTCCGATAATGGTTCTGGTACATGTTTGTCTGGCCACCCTATATAATCGTTATAAGCAGATTTGTGCTACTTGAGTTATAGATATATAAAGTTGTACATATTAGGCCATTAAAGCCTATTCAACACAAATTTCTGAGATATTGTGCAGTCAGATTATGATAAGTATTTATAAGTTACCCATGAATATAATGATAATAATAAATAGGGATTTTGAATGTCAATAAATTCGAAGGGGTTCAGTTGGAGTAATTTCAGGATTATTCATTATTTCGAACTTGAGGAATCCTTCAATTTAGAGTACCACTAAGATATTATTGTTTAAATGATTTACTTATTATTCCATTTCACAGAACTAATTTAGGCTTATTTAGTCCTACAATAACTTTGCAAAGAGGTGAAAATTTATTGAAATTAAATATTCTGGTCTTTTAATAGTTTAATAGTTGAAATTTCAAATATTTTCATTATTCCTAATGATTTTTATTGATCTGCATCATCTTAGGCTCTTCTTTTAATACCAAAATCAAGTTCTGAGAAATCCAAAGCGTGCAGACTTTTAAATATTGATATAAAATAGGACTTGAATGTTTTTGACAGTAATATGCCTGTCTTCTTTAATTATGTTCCGAATAAGATCATTAATTTTTTCTATAACTGACATTTTTAGCGTACTAACTCGAAAACTGTCATTAAAGGAAAGTCAGCTACGTTGAAATTCACTACAAATTAGAACATTACGTACATCATTGCTTAGTATTACTACATAGTATGCCTGTCTCAGAAAATTATTCGAGATTAAAAAAAAAATGAGATCTTATAAAAATAAATTATTAAGTTATGTCAATGTTTGCCCCATTTACCTTAACTAGAATAAAATGTAAGCTTAGTGGAAACAGAACGTCCTAAGACATAAGCATAGGTGTCATTTTACTAAAAAAAAATAGAAAAAAATAATTTACCCCAAACGAGCCTTCCAAAATTCTAATAAGTAAAAACATGTATACATTTATATTCGCCATTAACGGAGACAATAGCGTTAAAATAGAAGGAATTCCAATGCCGGCAGCAAAAACTAATTTTCCTCCAAATTTTATAGATAAGTATCCACCAAACAATTGTGTCGCAACATATCCATAAAAAAATGCACTTAAAACGTAGCCTTGAATTTTTGTATCCCAGTCAAAAGGTCTTTCCTAAAAAAAAAAAACATTTTTATAGAGTCAGAGAATAGTAACTAATGTTGTGATTGAACTATCTAACAAAGTAACTAAATGAAAATAATTATTTGTGCAGTGAGGACGTATAGGTCAGAATAAATTTGATATTTTTGTGTCTACACGTTGTATATCACGATACTAAATTAAGAACTAAATTTATTACTAAATATAAAACTAAAAATATTTTTTTCCGTTTGCAGTGATACTGATTTTACGTTAAATTAACTCAGTGTATTTTTAACAAAATTTAAATAACTTAAATTAGTTAAATAAACGAATGATTTACAGGGTGATACCGTCAACATATCTTCAGCAAATTAAAAGCAACAATTGTTTAATATTGTCGTTAAATACATTTTCATTGCACTTCGCTTTGAATTTGCTGATAAAGTTATAGTAACGATATCACATAGTATGTAATTTAACTATTTTCTTATCTTAATAATTATTTTTGAATAAATATTGACTAAATAATTATTATAATTTATTAATAAACATCAATTTTGTTCCACCTAAATTTAAAAAGTATACTCACCAAAATTATGGTGCCATTAGGTAAAGTTACGTTGCTTAATTGGGTCATAGCAACTATACCTATGCTGAGATTTATGCGTAGTGTGTAGAAATTGACTAGTCCAATAAATATCATAAGCGCCATAACGTACCTTCTTGCTCTCCAAAAAACCCATATTGGCGGAATATATGGTTGAAGGGGTTCACTAAAATTATTACATTGATATTAATATTCAAAATTTTATTCCAGCAATTAGGAATTTTAACAAAAATTAAAAAGGAAAGACTTGTATTTCTTTCAAAATTTTTAATTATTAAATGCAAAGCGCTTTCGGCATAGTGCCATTATCAGTGCTTCTCTATAAAAATTATGGATGTAACCTTACAATTTAAATATGTTAAAAATAAAATCTGAGTAATACTTTTTAGTTAAAAGTTAAAAAATATATATATAAGGTATTTTTCAACAAATTAACAATTGAAAGAGTGACTTAACCCAGTGTTGGGAATAGTGAGTGTAGGATAAGCCCCTAAAAAATCATATCTGATCTCCAGAAGCAAGTTAGCTTGTGTGGAACTAAGAAATTATACCACCTTCACTATTCGCATTGAGTACAATTGAAAACAAGTCAACAAATTAATTAAAAAAATTTAAAAAAATTTAAAATAGAGTATGATTGTGGAAAATGTATTGAAATTTAAATTTAGAATACCATAGTTAAAGGCAAAAGGCCAAAAAAAACTGAAGGTTTTTTCTATATTTACATTATAATTGTAAAAAAGACTACCTACCTTCCAAAAACAAGCATATTCACCAAGTTCTTTGTCATCCTTACTCCAAAATATAAATATTTTTCGAGATGGACAACTTGATAAATCATTATTATTTACTATTAATAAGTTAAAATTTAAGTTCGTTTATACATTCATTTTTATTTATTGTTTGACCAGCTGTTTCCATGTGACACTGGTGACAAGCAACACTTAAAGACGTTGTCAGGTCAAATGTCAAGAGAGGAGGTACATTTACCTCAGCGTGGAACAAGTTACTCCAAGTGTGATTCATTGGTATTGAATTTAAAGAAAAAATGATTTGTTTTTTAATTAAATTTTAATTTAAATATATGTTTAATGTGAATTAATCTTTTAATGTCAAGGCAAAACAAAATTATCACTCACGTTATTCCGCTGTACCAGCCCGGGCTCTGCAGAACTTTTTTCCCAGAACACAAGATGGCACAACTAAACCGGCGATCCCTAGAGGTGAATCTGATGTTTAATCTAAAATATTCCAAGTCACTCAACAAGCGTACTCATAGTTAAAGTGAGACAAAAAGGGAACAAAAATCATATAATACCATGGTTCCAGAGGTAGGCTCTGTTGGGTAAAATCGAGTTTAGGAGGGAATGGTTCTCAAGGCTTATATTGAGCGACTCCGACTTACATCATCATAGAGGGTTAACTAAGTTGTCTACGAAATGTTATGAAATTTCTGTTAAGGTTCACTTGAGTGTTGAGACCGAAAATATTATTATTTCTCTCAAGGGTAATTTCAACATCTTCATAGAAATCTAATAAATTGAAATTTTTTGTGTTCAGGTTGACTACTAATTTGGAGTTTTTTGTTGGGCTAAAATTATGTTGATTATTGAACCTCAAGTTATGTCCAAATGCAGGTTCTGCATCGTAATCGCTGCATTGCAACCTGTACACTCCACTCTTGTCTAACAAATTTGTTTTGCCTTTGGTGTTGACTAAATGAGAGTATAACTCCATGCCGAAAGCGCTTTACATTTAATAATTAAAAATTTTGCACGAAAAGTCTTTCCTTTTTACTTTTCTATCTGTATACAGATATAAGGAAAGTATAGGAATCATGATTTTTTCGACATCAAGTTTTCGACGGATTTTTACGTTTTGAGGTCCCCTGAATCCGTTTTGACTATTTTCGCGATGATGTGTGTGTGTGTGTGTGTGTGTGTGTGCGTGTGGGTGTGCGTGTGCGTGTGCGTGTGCGTGTGCGTGTGTGTCTGTGTGTGTGTGTGTGTGTGTGTGTGTGTGTGTGTGTGTGTGTGTGTGTGTGTATGTGTGTGTGTGTATGTGTGTGTGTGTGTATGTGTGTGTGTGTGTGTGTGTGTGTGTGTGTGTGTGTGTGTGTGTGTGTGTGTGTGTGTGTGTGTGTGTGTGTCTGTATGTCTCATAACTCATGAACCAATACACAGAAAAACACCAAATTTTAAATTAAGCTTTATTCCATCATCTAATGAATTTATTAGATTTTGGGCAGAGTCGGAACATCTGGGGAGGTACTTTATGAGTGGTCATTTTTATATTTTATGGAATATATGTTATTTACGTTTGGGGAGGAAAATTTTTCAAATAAACGTTACTTTTAATATAATTATCTATAATTTTTGTTTAATACAAAATTTTCCTAAAATGAGAAATGAGAAATTTGAGAAAATGTAAAAAAAATAATTTTTTATATAAACTGTTTAAATAAAAGTTGTTTGTAATATAATTCTCTATAATTTTTACTCTATACATAATTTTTCTAAAATGGACCGTATTCGAGATATTTGAGAAAATGTGTAAATATTGAATTTTGAAGAAAACTCAAAAACGGATAAAAAAACATTAAATTTTAAACTTAAGGTTTATTTCGGCCTGACGTAAAAGATTTCGGACAAAGTCGGAACATCTGGGGGGGGTACTTTATGGGAGGCCGTTTTTATATTTTATGAATTATATCTGTTATTTATGTTTGGAGAAGAAAATTGTTAAAATAAAAGTTACTTCTAATATTATTATCTATAATTTTTGCTTTATGTCAAAATTTCCTGAAATGGTCCGTATTTGAGAAATTTTAAAAAATGTGCAAAATTATGATTTTTATGAAAATTGTTGAACTAAAAGTTGTTTGCGATATCGATCTCTATAATTTTTGTTTATACATGATTTTTCTAAAATGGACCGTAATGGAAAAGTGCTAAATTTAAATTTTTTAGTATTTTCGTTTTCAATGAATATCTATAGAAAAATGTTTCGAGGTAGATGTATGTGGACAATGTATATATTTAGTTTATCCTCTAAACATTTATAGAGATGCTGCAATAGGTTGTACAAAATAACCGGAAAAAGCCTTTAATAACTAGATAGGAAAGTCATGTGTTGGACACATCAGATTTTTTAGTTATTTTAAAAATAATATAGTTTTATAATAAAAAAGATTATATAAATGATTTACTTTTTTAAAATTGTGGTAGTGAAGTAGAAAACAAAATTGTTGCATTATTTATATTCCACTGTCATGTCATTTTAAAAGATTTATATGAACTAATCTTATGTACTAATTTTTCTCTAGTTCTTTTGTTTTTAGGACATAGAGTATGCTATATTATGAGCAAAGTTTACAAAGGGTACAGCAGTAGAAAATTAAAACGACAGAAAGACACAGAAAGCAGAGAAGACAAAAAAAATATTTTTTGCCTTTGTTAATTTCTGCATTTTTTAATATTTTTTAAAATAAGAAAATGTACATTTATTTAAGATACACTAACCTTTCAAATTACAGCTATAATATTTCTTAGCTCAGTTTTCTTTTTTGACAATAATCTGTTTTATCAGTATTCAGAAATAGCTATTTTAAGACTAACCTTATTTCCACTATCTCCTCCAATTGCACTGTCATTTTATAAATGCTGGATTAAGAATTTAAAAATTCTTGTTTAACATAATTACAACCATAATTTTTCACATTAAAATACAGTAAAAATAATAAAGTTATTCGGACGAATAATTTATTTTTAATTACAAACAAATTAAAAAACTATACACCCAGAATAGTTTTACCTATTGCCTTAAAGTTCAAATAACTAATTACTACCAATAATTAGTGTATCTAATTAAGTCTACTACAGCCAGATAAGTATTTGGCCAAATGCGCCGTATTTATCTACATACCGGGAGTACCTGTAAAATATTAATTTTAATTTTTGTGATATCATTTATTATACAGGGAGGCATAATATACAAGTAGTACTTCTATTAGGTTCCACATTAAACATTTTTTTATAAAAAATGTCTACAATAATAATTGTACGTGGGTAATTCTCACGAAACCTTTATAATTCATATTTTAGTTTTTATGTAAATAAATTTAAATTTATTGAAACTAATTTTATGTATTCTCACCAAAAATGTATTCATAATAATCCTATGCCAATGGTTAAACCTTTTGATGATTATTTTTTGTAATAAGGAGTTTAGTAGATGTAATTGGCCAGTTCTGGAAATGAGAAAGAGGTACAGAGAGAGGCAATTGGGTAATTAGTAATTATCCTAAGTACTTCCCACCCTTTGCGCAATTAGCAAGTACCTCCTAATTACATCATGTACTGTAATAAGTGCAATTGCACAGTAAGTACCACCCAATTACATCATGTACTGTAATAGGTGCAATTGCATAGTAAGTACCTCCCAATTACCATGTACACGCCATACTGTAATGATTGTAATTGCATAATAAGTACCTCCCAATTACCCACAGGGTATACAGCTCATTACTCCATACATATTAAAGTGTAAGTACACCATAGGTAGTAATTACTGTATGCAATGTAGTGTATTGAATGTTATATAAGTGCCTCCTAGTGATTACTGTTGGCAGCACGTCCTTAGCTCTCGGCCGGCGTGCCTAGAGTGCTTAGCCTGTGTTAGAGACGGTCGTGCTTAACCGAAATATCAAGGTAAGTGACTAAGAAGGGGTAGCCTGCGCCAGAGATAGACGTGCAATTAGCAAGTACCTCCCAATTACACCATGTACTGTAATAAATGCAATTGCACAGTATGTACCTTCCAATTACCATGTACACGCCATACTGTAATGATTGTAATTGCATAATAAGTACCTCCCTATTACCCACAGGGTGTGCATAGTGTAATGGGTGTAATTCATACATATATAGATGTAAGTATTTACTATGTATAACGGGTAGCATGTAACGAGCATAGTAAGTACCTCTTAGATAGTAATTACTATGTATAGGTTATAGTGTAATGAGTTTAGTCTAAGTACATCTCAATGATTACTATTGTAGCATAGGGGAAATACGTCGGGGCATACCTAAACACATCCTTGACTCTCAGCCGTCATAGCTATAGTGAAGCACTAGTCTCCAGCAGACGCGCAAGACGTAAACATCGGTGGAAAAGATAGTTCCCCATTCTTCACAAAATTAGCGGGTGCCTCTCAGGCTCGTATATTATGAATATGAGTTACATAGAAAGTATTTTTTAGATACCCTATACACCATGTGTGATGAGTATCGTAAGACCCTCTCATCACTTCATACACATTGAAATAAAATGAGTATAGCTACCTTGTGTATATAGTAATTTCTATGCATGTCATGAAGTGTAATGAGTAATTTAAGTAGCTCTTGGTTATTACTATTGTAGCGTATATAGCATTTTGTATCCTAAGTACATTCTAAATAATAGACATAAATGGGGGATGAAGTCCGCAGATCCTTGACTTTCGACCACCATGATTAGAGTGAGGAACCGGCCGGGCGTAAGCATACATGGCATGAATATCGAGGCAGGAACTTGGAAAAAGTGGGGATTTAGTTAACAAGTACTTCCCAATTCTGAACCCACTGTACTGAGTCTAATTGCATAGTAAGAAACTTTCAATGTATAATGAGCATCGCAAATACTTTTCAATACTCCATTCACATATAGGTACCTTGTATGTATATTATGTGTAATAAGTTATAGTAAGTACTCCCCATTACTTCAAACACAATGAAGTGGTATGAGTGTAAGTACATTATGTATAGTAATTGATATGTATATCATGTAGTGTTGTGAGTTTAATATAAGTACCTCTCGGGTATAACTATTATACCGTACAGAGAGTGAATATCGAAGGAGCTTAAAAGAGGTGGGGGATTTTTGAGAGGATATATAGTAGCGTACGTATCCAAAAAGTTTAAACATCGTGAGCTTCCGCAGTGTATGGTTTCAAAACGGCTAAAAATATCTTATTTTAATACAAAATACGTACAAAAACGGAAAAAAATAACATCAGAATAATTAAAATATCTTTCTCAGGTGAAAGACACCAAAAATTTAAAACAAAAAAATAAGTAAAATGCAGACACATTGACACACAACGTTTTTAACTAAACTATTATGTTTTGATTAATGGAGATCTACGTATAATACGCAAATCTCGAACTCAGGTAAAAAGTGCCGGGTTCTTTAGGTATCTAGTTGGGCTAAGTTTAGTAGAAATATGTGTTTTTTATGGTCGCCATCTATAACGAAGTTTAGGCAGTTCTTCTAGAAATATATGATATGACTAGACATAGTCTGCGCCTAATAGTTATTTTGACTGATTATTACCAAGTATGGAAGCATTCCTATATCATGGGGCTGTCATAATCTGTTCTCTGGAGGTCCGAACAAGAAGATGAGGCCACCGAGCATATCCGCTACTATTGCCCAACGCTTTTATTTATTAGAAAATTTGTATTTGGTAAGTATCACCTAATACTGGCCAATATAAGGGAAGCACACAACTCTTGGAGACGTCAACTACATTAATTCATTTTGTATGACTAAAATGTTTCTATTCACAGCGATGCCATTTCAAATAATATTGACGTCACAGTGTACTTTAAATGGGAAATCTCAATTGCGGCCTCTACCAAACATACTACAAATTTCGGTTCGAAAAAAAAAAAAATAAAAAAAATTGGTGGTGGAAGGTACGTACGCAAACTATGCGTTTTCGTTAATGATATATGTATTTCTTACTTAATATGAGCATATTATAATAGCTACATAAAAAATTAAAACATACAGAAAAAATGTAATATTTTTCAGGCAGAATTGGGCCTTTTCATATATAGTCAAATACTTGACTATGGCTGGTCATTGTCCAAGTATGGCAGCATCTTCATATTGATGGGGCTCTTAGAATACACACTGCAAGGAGTGCGAACAAGAAGATGAGACCATCGAGCATAACCCCCCCTTCGATTTATTAAAATATTTGTATTTAGCGAATATCGGCTAACACCGACCGATTTGAAATAAGCACCTCTTAGCGACGTTGTCACCTACATTAAATCTGTAGGTTGGCTCACGAAGCTTGGTGCATATCATCTTAGAAGGATGCACAATGGGCCCTAATTAGGCTTAAATGTCGTGAGGTAACCCACCCTCCCATACGTTACATGTGCCTTTCATATATAAAAAACACCAAAAAAGTCAAATGACTGACAAAAAATAAGTAAAGCTCAAAAAAATAATTCATTTTAATACAAAATACATACAAAAATGGAAAATAACATCAGAATAATTACAATATCTTTTTTATTTGAAAGACACCAAAAATTTAAATTTAAATTTAAAACAAAAATTAAGTAAAACGCAGACACATTGGCACACAATGTGTTGAAACTACTACCGTTTTCGATTTCAATGCTCTGCCCGCAGAAAGTGCGCATAAAAGATACCGGTTACTTTTTAGACTGAAAAGTAACTGGTATCGACATATCTCCCACCGTTCGTATGCTCTCAGAACAAGCCAAGAGTGGAATCGAAAAAGTTATAAAAATTCTATCTATTGTGTTTGGATTAAAGCAGATCTACGTATGATACGCAAGCCTCAAAATCAAGTATAAAAGGGGTCCTGCCCTTAAGGTATTTAGTTGGGCTTTGATTAGTAGAAATATGTATTTTTTATGGTCGCCATCTATAACGAAGTTTAGGCAGTCCTTCTAGAGAAGAGTGGTCAGATTTAGTAGAACCCTGCTTTTAATAGTTTTCAAGATTTTTATTGTAGGTAGAAAACTACAATATTTTGAGAACAAAATAAGTAAATATTTGATAAAATATTTAGCTGTATATTATAATTACGAAAATATCGAATGCATATTGAATTAATAGTCATTTATATACATATGCTAGACTTTTTTTTAATTGAATTCTCGGGATCATAGCTAACCTCGACGCTTCGCGTCTCGGTGATCTAACTAATCTTACGACAGGAATGAAACTCTTCCCACCTCGGTGTGTAATATACTATTTCACACTTAAGGTAAAAAAGAAAATATTACTAATCATGAATAAATATTATAGAATAATTTTGTATCATCAAATGTCACAAAAAAAATCGTTTCATAATATTGTGAAAGAAAATTAATGATGGTGTTATATTCACGGAGGTGATATTCACGCAAGTGAGAAAATTTTATATTTTTGTGGGATATCTCGATTTAAATAAATTGTATCAAAATAAAATTCTTGCGAAGTGTTATTTGGAAAATTGGCATTTGGTGCTGACTGTCTAAAAATGTAGTAATTATAAATACAAATCCATTTATATAAGTTAATTGAATTTTAGGTATTTAAAAATTTTTAATTATTCACAGTATCGTAAATACAAATACGTAAATGTACAATTAGACCGTCAGATAGTGATAGGTTTAGGTGCCCCATACAAGCCTCAAAGAGGGTTGAAAAGTACATCGGTTTTAAGTAGAATGAAACTAAATTTACGAGTGACTCCTGGGTATAACAAATGGAAAATTTGATTTTCCCCAACAACAATGAAAGGTTATTTGTTGCCCATATTTCCACGCAAGACGTTTTTAATAATTAATTAATAGAAGTAGGCTTTAGACAAATAAAGGCTTA